GGAGAATAATTATTGCTTTACGTTTTTTTTTGTTCTATAGTTTAAAATAATATGATATCGAATATATTTTTTACCTTTTATACAGCCTCAGTTCCTTTCTTCGTCATTCTTCATACTTAACTCGACTATTATCAAGTTTATAGTCCCTTTTTCGTCTTTCTTCTTCTTTTTCTTAAAAGTAAATATTTATACTTTTTTCATCACGCTATTTGTGTCATGATCTATATTTACCTACGTAAATTCAGATAATAATCATGATATGCGATATTTACAAACGAGAATGAGTCAAAGTATTAATACCTGTTATAAATCGTTACTCATATCACTCAGATACGTAATATACCGATTAAAAAAAATTGATTACATGTTGAAGAACCTTGCAAATGACATTCGCCCTTTTATTGCAGAGATATCCATACTCACATTTTGATGCAATCTTATCTGATAAAAAACCTAAGGAAATTACACCATTAGTGGAAACTATTGTGCAAGAACAACTTAACACATATAAATAGTAAATTAAATTGTTAAGAGATTTTAATTCATTGTGAAACAGTTTTAAGCGACTCACTTGAATTAACAGCAATAATAATACAATTTAAATTAAGAAGAAAACATCTACTGCATTATTCATCGACATTTGGATGATGTTACCAAGATTCACGTCAAATGCCGATAGAATTTCGCAATTCTGTCGCAATAACGACAATGATGAAATATTGACTCACCTCTCGTTCTTTTCTATAAAATACCTCTGAATGTTATTTATTCACCACACGTGGTAAAAGAAAATGACAGATACATCTATTTATTTCTATCTTCGAAATGAACCATTTGGTGAGTTTAGTAATTTTTATCTCGCTCCTATTGTATTAGATGGGTGTACCTGGTCAACGACTGAACATTATTTTCAAGCACAAAAATTTATTTCCGATGAAATACATTATCAAAATATTCTACAATTAGCGAAACCTTGTAAAGTATTTTATTATGTTCGAAAACACAAATCTTCTCGGCGTGCAGATTGGGACGATGTCAAAGATGAGATTATGTTCAAAGCATGTCTGGCAAAATTTCAACAGCATTTAAAACTGAAAGAATTATTATTATCTACTGGTGATCGAACGTTAGTCGAACATACAAAAAATGATTCCTATTGGGGTGATGGAGGTGATGGTACAGGAAGAAATCAATTAGGAATTACTCTAATGAAAGTTAGAGAATATCTCAAAAATAATTCAGAATGAAATCATCTGAAACTGATCTATTTACAATATCGACGTCACATGTATCTTTTCTTTCTTTTCTGTAACACGCAACGATGACGAGTAAATAGTTTGTTATTGCATAATGTATTCTCTATTTGGTGAGTCAGTTCCTCTCAATTAATAAGGTAATTTCACGATCGATACATATAAAAACAGATTGACTAAACTATTCTTTCTATTTCATATCAGTGTCCACAAATATCTTACTGTTTCTTTCAGATTAATATATGGCTGAATCAATTGATTGTGAAGACGCAGCATCTTTAGTTTCTGTTTCTAGAAATGAACGTGCAAGGATTGCTCAGAATACTCTTGCCACGCTTCAGACTGGTTGGTATGAATTACCTGATGGTCAGCGAGTTAATCTAGAAGATGATGTCAAATTCTGCAACGATAATAGTATACTCTACACTGAAGATGATCTACAAAACATGAAGAAATCAATCACGACTACCGATGAATCAGACGTAATTTCTTATCCAAAAATTGAAATTCGCTATTGTACAACTTTACAAGCAGCTCGATTTCTAGTTGCTGAAGTGGGTGAAGACCATGTTGGAGTATTGAACTTTGCATCAGCCAAAAATCCAGGTGGGGGTTTCCTTAAAGGTTCTCAAGCACAAGAAGAATCCATTGCTCGATCTTCCTCACTCTATATAGCAGAGACTCAATCTAGATTTATGAATGGATATTATGATTATAATCGCCATGGCCCCAGAGGTATCTACAGTCATCGTATGATTTATTCGCCAAGAGTAACAATTTTCAAAGTATGACAAATCAAATTAGTTGATTTTATATTTTTTATCTTTTGTCTTCTAGGATGACAATGGTAAATTACTATCGTCTCCATATCATGTTGCGATTGTAACTGCTCCTGCTCCAAATGCTGGTGTGATAAAGAACGCCAAAGAGGCGCGAAATGTTATGACGGAACGTGTAAAACATGTACTTAACGTTTTTAAAACAAACAAACATGATACTCTTGTCTTAGGAGCATACGGCTGTGGTGTATTTAAAAATGATCCACTTGATGTTGCAATTATTTTCCGACAACATCTCGAATCGAAAGAGTTTCAGCACTCATTCAAACGAATCATTTTTGCCATTTTGAATAAAGAAATGTATCAAATATTCGAGCAAGTGTTCGGTGCTAATGATTTGAACACTATACATGAACAAATCGCAACATTATCTTTGGATCATGGTGTTCAGAAACAATCTACGAACAATAATCGAAATAAACAGAATAAGAAAAAACGAGTAGAAAAACGAAGACGAAACAATCACTTCGATGAGGATCAAAATCAAACAAGTGATAATGACGATGAGCGAAGATTTGATATCGATGCATTATTTACTATTTGATGTAACATTTCGACAGTTATACTTTCATGTAAATCGATTTTTCAATATTTGCTAATAAAGTTAGAAGAAAAGGAAAAGAACAGAATTGAAAAGACATTTGATGACGAATAGCATTACTACTCAATATTTTACATTTAACATTTACGGGCGTGGGTATGACTAAGGGTAAAAAGAACATTCAGACTTACCCACAGCACCACCGACGAGCAAATACTTAGGATTTTCGAAAAGAGTATTGATTAATATACTTATGAAAAGTAGTTTTTAGTACTTAATATATGATCACTGTATATTAAAAAAATATTCTTTTATATTTACGATAAGTGCTCTCCAGTATTAGATGAAAAATAGCAACAATATCTGTACTAAACAAACATACAAGTCTATCCACATTCTCAATGACATATGCAAAAAAATAAGAAAGAGAAAGTTGTTATAAAAGTAATAGTAGACAACTAACAAGGAAATATATTTAGGTATTCGAGTCGTTTAAAATCATCGCGAGGGAGATGTGATTGAAGAAAAGAGGAGAGTCAGTCACGTTCACACCGATACAATCATACACATTCATCTCTTCTTTCTAGTTCTTGAATCATAATGATGTCATAATCATACATAATTTTTCATGCTTCTTATGACGAACAAAGCTTTTTACGTGATTCATTCAGCATCACTCATAGTCATCGTTAGAAATGTTTTTGTTTTCTCTTCATTTCTATTTAAACTCGTGTTTATTCTGTTTCTTTCCATTAAATTACTACAACATACAGAAAATGACATCAACTAATGCAAATGAGAAAACGATACCCGCTCTTTTAGAAGGTAAATATTTCAAAGTCTTTGCATCTTTGATGATATATATTTCTTATTTAGAAGCAATTGAAAACCTGTCTCAATTGGATATACGCTCAATAACAGAGCTAAGATCCTTGTCCAAGCCACCTTTAATTTGTCAGCTGTTATTCGAAGGTATTGGGGTTCTACTGGAACCGACAAAAACGAAATTCGAATGGATGGACGCCAAGAGACTAATGAACGATCAGTTTTTGAACAAGCTTAAAAACTTTGATACACGCACTGTTAATGAAGATCAATTGTCACGACTTACATCAATTCTAACTCGAGATGAATGTCAACCGGAATGTGTTAAATGCGCATCGAAGGCATGTTACAATATACGTTTATGGCTTCGGGCTGTTGCAGAATGTGCGAAATATCAGCAACAATTGATATAAACACTAAATTGAATAGTTAGCTTTTATTCTAGAGTTCAAGATGTTTTGTGAGACAGATAATTTTTTATGTTATTTAATAATTCAGATGGTAATACAACAGAATTGACGATATCAACAACAAAAATATTTTCTTCCTCTCGTATTTATGGAGGGTGAGGATATGCGTAGAAATCTGAATAAACCCCCCTCCATAATAAAAGACCCTCTCGTAATAAAAGACCCTCCCATAATAGAAGACCCTCTTGCAAAAATAACGTGAAATCCATAATAGAAGACCCGGGTCTTCAAATTAAAAAATAGTTTTTAAGTTATTATTTTTTTCCATTAAATTCTCCATATTATTGTATGTGTTGTGCAACGAACGATAGAAAAGAATTGAAAATATAGTAATAGCTCGTTTATACACATCTACAATATGTTTTCTTCACGTGAAAATAGACACAAATCGACTAAAATTAAAAATACGAGGACAATCAGAACGAAGATGCAGAAAATCATATGTGAATACACCCGTTCAATTTAACATAAGGAGTAATAAAAATTGAAACAACTCAATTTGCATCAATTTGTGAACAAAAAATATTTGCAGTTATTTTTTTTTCTATTTTTATCTGAGTTGGAGTTAAAAAGGGATGAGTTATGATTTGAGTTACAACTTTTGAATTATAAATAACCAACTTTTTGGTCCAAAAGCGATTTTGGTTATAACTTTAAACTGTGGTTATAACATTTAACCGTGGTTAATGTAAGTTATTATTTCAAATCTGTCGACTGGGTAGAATTTCTATCTCTTTAATCTTAGTGAGTAAATGAACCGAAGCCGTATTTTACAATATAGTTCATACCATTTTATCATTACCTTCTAAAAAATTCGTATTATCTTCTGAAATAAAGTTCAATTTTTATTTAATAACTATCTGTCAAACAGTGACTTCAGTTCAGTTACTCACTAAGGATAAAGAGAGAGAAATTCTATCTTATTAACCGAATTGTGATAATAACTTATATTAACCACAGTTAAATGTTATAACCAAGGTTGAAAGTTATAACTACGGTTGTAATCATTTTAACTTTTCAAAATTTCATATTTATTAAATAATATAATTATGACGAACGATAATGCCTGAAACTTCACAAATTGTTTTATTGATTTTTGGCAGTTTACGCTCAGAAATTCGTATTAGAAGACCACCCCATAATAGAAGACCCCTTTAAAAGTTTGATCCGCAAAATGCAATAGTAGACCAGGGGTCTTTTATTATGGAGGGGGGTTTACTTGTTATTCATTCCAATGCTACTACATCAACGGTGACGCGTTACACTTTTTAGCTGTTAATCCACCTTTTCAAAAGTAGAAACAAAACACAAAATATTTCTTTTTTATTCTCTATTTATTTTCATATGATGATATTACGATATGAAAAAGATTAATCAAAAAAATAAGTTGAACAATAGAACATTACATACAAAAAAAGAGAAAGATTTGTCCATAAGAGAAATTTGCTGAATTAGATCAATATCTTAAAGTTCTAATGATTCCTGAATTTTTAGTTGATGAATATAGAACATCTGGAAGGTATTTTCGTGTAAAATTTGTAGTTAGATTATAGTTTGTATCTGGTAATAAATTGTCAAAACGATATTTACTTATTAGATAAGTTCCATTTGATACAGTTTCTATTGGTAATGTTGTATCTCTATCATTCAGTTGTACATACATATCAAGTTTAAAATAAGGAATTTCTCTTGGCCACATCATTGAAACAATAACTGAATTTGATCTAACATCAATAGAATCTTTTTCCATAGGTATCGGTGTTGTTGCCATTTTGAACAATTTAGCTATGTCACGTGACTCCACCCACGGTATTTCATTCATTACACTATAAGTTCTATTGTATTGAAGAACAATAGCATAATATGCATTGGCTTTTAAAAAATTGTTATCCACTATTATAAGTGATGTGAAATTAGAACGATCTTTACTAGCCATAGTAAAATTATTAATAAGCTTGTCAGTTGTGTTCAGTTTACATAGAATAACAGATAATTGTACAAAAGATGGTTCCGTTCCCAAATTACTATATCCCCAACTAATATTAATAGCTGATTCATTGTATATATCGACAGTCCGTATAAATGGGTCTGCCGACAACCAAGATATTCCTATAACTAAATTTATTGATGTTGTTGTCAATATTAGAATGAAAATCCATATAAATTGCATTTTGTCGTCTGATTCAAATGGATGTTGTTAGAAGATAATAATTTTTTACAGACTAATTCTTCTTCGTTAAAATATTTCTTTATATAACCGAATGAGTATGAAATAGAACGAATGGATATGAAAATGAAGAGAGAAGAATGAACAATGAACGACTATCTATCACTATCACCAATGAGACGAAACGGTCAAGAAAGAAAGAAAGAAAGAAAGGTGAAACAATAAGAAGTGGCCAATGTGTTGTATATATATATGCATGGCGGGAATGTTTGGTCAATGTGATGGAGGAAGAGCGAAGAGAAAAATGCCGAAGAAAATAAGGTGAAATATAGAATGGAAAAATATCAAAAGAGAAAACGTCGAAAAGAAAAAAATGAATTAATCATTGCAGATCAATATAATAAGATGATTGAAACATATTTAGTCTGATTTGCTCGGGCCAACAAATGTGCTTCTTTCTTTAATTGATGGAGTCATGTAAATCCAGGCGCTGTTGATAAATATCCATTATCATTGATTGATTTAGTTTTCGTTGATTTCTCTTGAGTAGTTATATTATATGAATAGAATTTCGATAAAAAGTTACCAATAGTTGAGGATTTAATGATAGAATTTTTTTTATTTCAAATATAGCAACTTTGTCGTGTAATACCATTTCAATTTTAAAGTCTTTAAAATCAAAAAAGATGAGACGATGTTGATTATAAACAGTTATGCCCATTTCTAAACTAATTTCTATTTAAATACTCCAGAAGTTCCACGAAATATACTTGTTCAATTAATAAAATCTGTTAAAAATTCATAGCAGTTATTTCTTACTCATATTTTAATTGATGAATATTTTGTCTATTTTTTATATTTTATTCGGCATTTCTTCATTCGTCCGTTTTCCAGTCATTCGCTCGGTCAAGAATATGGAAGAGATAGTGATGAATGAAATCCGTCACAACTACCTTTTATACAACCTTAATTCCATTCTTCGTCATTCTTCATACTTAATCCAATTAATACCAAATTTATAGTTCATTTTTCATCTTCTTAAGTAACTATTTATACTTCATTCATTATTCTCTCTACTTTTATTGTGATCTATATTCTTCTACGCAAATTCCGATACTAATCATCTTATTTGATATTAATAGTAGAAAAAAACTAGGTTCTATAGTTTGTACTATAATATTCTTATACAAGAAGAGAAATCGACTCATAGCTTTGAAATTTCAGCAGAATTTATGTGATGTGATTGAAGGCATTCAGTACAGCAGTGAGGCTTCTACTTCTGCAAGTGAGGAGACGAGAGTTAGTTGCCCATGTTTTGAATTCTATTTTCATTATTTTGTCTATAGTATTTATCTGATTGTTTTATATTTCTTGAGGGTGTGGGTGTGGGTGTGAAATATATCCTTAATCATACCTGTACGCACACCCACACCCTCAAAAATTAAAACAAAATCCGCAGTGATCACTATTCTATTAGATATGCAACGTCAAAAATTATATTCATAGACATGCGAACGAAGTTCTGAATCAATTTTTGGAGTTTATTTTCGAAAGTTAAGATTTTTTTGGAAGTACACATTTATCAGAGCCTCGCGCCATCAATATTGTCCACCAAATCTTTTGATTTTTTTGACTAGAACCAATGCCAACCTACAAGATAAATGATACAGAAGTTTAAATCTTAAACGATCATGTAAGCTAGTCACAATACCTGATTATACTTAGGATTGAGAATGCTGGCACGGTGCTTAGG